CCACCCGCCCCATTTGCACAATTGCCCTGGCACTCCTCCTCTCTCACACACCCGGTGTCTTTGGTAGCACTAGTACACTAATGAATTATAACAATGCAGCCAGGGGCAGGGCGGAGGGGGCATGGCATTGTGCTGCATGTAAGCAGCAATTTTGCCATATCAATAATTCTGACTGCCACTGGGAACTACTGTAGCTGAAACAGATGTTTCATGTTGATAAGTAGGGACTGGGAAAGGAATTTTTATCCCACTGTTCATTTTTCTCTGTTCCCACTACCGATACCTGGCAGCAGCAACTCCAGTACAGCTGTCTCCTGCAAGCCAATCTGTTCAATCCGGGCTCCGAGGTCTCATTTCATAAATCAAACTCGGCCCTGGACGAGCCGCAATCTCAGGGTACCCTTGGTGGAAATGTCCCCCCCACCCCCCCACCCCAAGGAGAGACGCTGGGCCGATTGTGCTTAAATTAGTGCATTGTCACAATCCATTAAGGAAGACAGCCCTGGAAGGCAACGCTTTCAGTATTCTGTATTAACTGATTAGTAGGGAGAGAGCCACATGCGTGACATTTTGCACAAGGCTTTCACCTTCAAATGAAACATTTGGGAAAAGCCCAGAGCTTTCACGGGGAAGCAGTTCCGTGTGGTTCCAGTGGGGTCGGGTGGGGCTGCTCATGTTTGCAAGGCTTCCTGGTCCTCTTTACTGGAAGTAAAACTTTACTGGCTGAGCCTCAGGGCAGAGATGCTGAGGGCTGTAACAGCACCTCAGTAGCTTGGAGAGGATCAAGGGAAATGCTTGTTAAATTAATTAGGAAAAAAAAGAAAAAGCCAACAAACAATAAAAAACAAAACACCAAAAAACATTTAGGTCCAAACTATTTTAACACACTTTAGCATAGATTAATTTAAGTGAAATATTAACGTACTTCAGTAACTAGATACATGCTATATAATTTAAAACAGCTACCATTTATTAAGTATTTATATGAGCTAGGGACTGTGCCAAATTTTTAACACACATTACCTTATTTAATCTGCAGAACAATCTTTGGAGTGGGATTTGCTATCCCCATTTCATCAAGTAGGAAATTAGAGGGTGCTGAGGCTGACCTAGAGCCACATACAGCAAGCTTTACAGCTGGGTCAGATAGGTTCTGAAGCCCACAGTCCTGTCTCTTTGTCAATTCTAATCCCTAGTATCTCCCTCCCTCCCTCTCTCCCCATTCCTCCCTTCTTCCCTCCCTCCCTTCTCTCTCTCCTTCTCCTCCCTCCATACCACCTCTCTCTCTCTGTTTTAAAGATTGAGATGGGGTGAGGAAAAAAAAAAATTAGGATAATACCATGTTACCAAAGTTAGACAGTAAATCTAACAATAAATCTAACAGCAAAATCTCCAGAGATTTTAGGTGTTCACTGCATAATTTTTATGTTATTGTACGGTTGAAGACAGTCATAATAAAACGTCGAGAAGCGGGTAGGGTAATAGTTTTGGAGGAAGGAGAAGGCAGGTTTCTGGACTTCATGAAAGTCTCCTGGTGGAGAGTGATGCGTCGGTTCCGAGTCACATATTTATAATGGTGCAAGAAATCAACACACTTTGGCCCAGGAGATGTGTGGATAGTTTTAAATTATAAACTTTGCAAATCAGAAGGTGGAGTAGTTTAATCGATGCCAAACAGACAGAAGAAATGGGGCGAAGCTCCACTATTTGTATTTGGGGATCTCTTCCAGGTTTCAAAGGTGGGGCACCAAGATGGAGTGCCCTACTTTTTTTGAGTCTGGTCTGAATGGAGCCAGTCAGTAGATGAGAATATTTACACATTTTTTTTATTCCAACTCAAAGCATTTTTTATTTAAATATGTCATTAATCAATACTGTCAACAACTAGCTACACGAAAAGCAGCAGCAGCTACACTTCTATCACTCGTCATACTGCTAGACTCGCGGCTGAAGATGTCTACCAAACTCAAAAAAGATTAGACACTTCACCATGGCACAATTATCTCCGATGA